AAAATATATGTAATTTTGTTATAATTTTATTTGATAGTATCTTAAAATTTAAAAGTAAAAGTGAAGAATACTAGTTAGATTAAAATGTTAACAATAGTGTTAACTATATTAAGCAAAGTTATGCAGAAACTAATTTCAAATAGAAAACTGTTTATAAATATTAAATCAGTTAGAAGTTTTAAAATCAATACTTCTGACTTTACTATTGTACTTGTTTACTGTTCAAATTAAATATTAACTTACCTTTTTTTTTCTTCCAATGTATGACAGTTGGGAATTCGTTTGTTGATGAATCTATCAACTATTGGTTGTGTCCGCATATCCATCCATACTATAGAATTGTAATTATTTAGAGTTAAGATATTATGAACATAAAATTAAAATGTCTTATACAGTTAACTAAGAAATGTAAAAATTTATTTACTTATAGCATTGTATAATGGTTTCCCTGTATACTTGTCCCACACTAATGTAGTTTCTCGTTGATTTGTCACACCTATCGCAGCAATAGCTGAAGGTGATATGTTCATCATTTTGAGTTTTTCACATGTTACAGCTATAGTTTCTTTAACTTTCATTAATATATCTTCTGGATCCTGTTCTACCCATCCTTCATTTAAGCTTATGTTAGTTGTACTTATTTGATGACTGGCTACTGGCTGGTGAGTTTTTGATGAAAAAACCTATAAAATAAAATATAATTTAACCAAAGATTATTTTTGTAGTAGTATAATACAATCTGTAAACTATATCATTTCAAAGTATTATGTTAATAAATATTAAATCAAGCAATAGAAAGATTACTGTCAAAAGTCTTGAAAGAACATTAATTGTATTATTATATTTAGTACGTACCAAAAAACGTGTACTGCTAGTGCCTTCGTCAATAGCACCAACAAATGTTTCTTCAACAGCAGACATCTTTAATATAAATAAACGAAACATAACGAATTATTATGATGAATATTCACAAATTATTAACATATTGGTATGATAAAAATATTTCAATGTATACTGTACTGATTTTTGTGTATTATTTTTCTTATAACAGATTAAGTTATGTATTTTGGACATTGTAATAAACTGTGGACGTTGATCTAACTGTTATAACAAACAAAATGACCATGAATTAGAATGTGTATTCTGATTTGTTAGGTATATATATATATATATATGAAGATGAAGATTTTTTTAAGTAGTAATTCCAATAATGTTAAGGTCGGGAATAATGATACACTGTTATTAATGTGTTGTGTATCATACTGTTATCATATTATTTTAATATGGATAATGGACCTACAGGCTACAATATCATATTATAATGTTCGTAAAATTCCAATTATCATTAATTACAATGATTAGTATTAATTATACTAGACTATTAACTTTACACGCTATGAAATAATTGCTGAGATTATATTTCTATATGCAAATACTAAAAGGATGTTTGAATTCTTGTGATCAACAATGCCATATTAGGGAATTTTTAAGTCAAAATCAATTAGAACACATGTCTATTTTACTTCATTGTTATTAAGATTTTTTGTTTTTGAAAATGATTTAAATTTATTGTATTGTGTTGAATCATTTGTTAGTATTATATTATTTTATTGAAAATTTGGATTATTTTCAGTAATTGCTGTAGAGGTACTGCACCAACAACAATAATTAAATTTTTGTTTTTTTTTAGACAGTTGTAGTGTTGTAGGAATGTAAACCAACCATGCAGTAATGTGGTGGAAATAAAGAGATTTACAGTGAATTACTTTACCATTTCATTTATTTATTTTATACTTTGAATGATTGGATATTGCCATTCCTACTATTTAAAACATAATTGAAAAATGTAATCATTTAGATATATCGAATCTTACAGAATGAAAATATTCAATCTAGGAGTATGTAGGTATAATTTAAAAATTAATGTTTCCTGGAGCATTCACTGCTCTGGACATGTAATTATATTCCTGTTTTATAAAGATTATTATTTGCCAGAAACTGTACAATTTTAGTTAGATCGCATCATTATACCTATCAACCTACGTTATATTATAAACTATAATTTGTGTAAATTAAAAACCTGTAAGGCTGTATCATATGCATACAGTATTGTTTAACACATTTTATAATTAAAAAAATAAATTACTCAAACATTTAAAAACAACTATATTTCTACTTATAATTTAMATATATTAAATAGGTATATATTATATAAGAAATTAAGAAATGTATTTTACAACTAGGTTATTCTAAAAATTTATTAAATTTGAATACCAATGTTCACATTGTATGATTWATGGTATAAAATGTAATGTATAATACACTATTGTTAGGTAGGTAAGTATTTTTGTAATACAATTATAACATACAATATAATGGTCACAATTCATGATTATTGTACAATAATAACTGTAGTTATTAAATATTAATAACTAATGAGTAGCATTATTACTAGCTGATCCTGTGTGAAGTTGCCTGTGACAAATTAAATTCCCTTGGATTTATTCTGTTTTAAACTTCATTAAATGTAAAATACACAGTATATTTTTATGTAATTTGTGTGATTTTTACCAAGTATAAAATACAGGTCTAAAATTACATACACTCGTAATAACTGTTTTATTTTATGTAACCAATGGCCGTTGGTGCAAATAAAGGGGAGGGATTTAGAAAAAATGTCAATAGTTCACCCCTTGACATTTCCTAAAAAAATGATTAAGCTTATTAAATATCAAAATAGTAGAGCTTTAGCCTACCTCCCTCCCTTCAAATCTCAAACTATACAGTTATTTGCGCCTATACCAATGGTCACCATATACAAACAAAAAAAAATCGTTTTTCTTAAGCCGACCAGATCTTAAGTAAGCCCCTCTTTAAGAGTACATAACAGTGGTATTTGATGTCTCCGTCTTACCAGTTCGTAATATAACAAATGTACGCTCGGCAGAACACTTGTAGCTCCTTTAGTTTAAAAATTACAGTGAATCAACCTATTATGAAACTTGATGGTAAGAACATTATCTGTGTTGGTACATTGGTTTTATACGATAATTCAATTATTAAGTGAGTTATGAGCATTTTTAATGTACTGTATATTATACGCTCATAACTCACTTAAAAATTGAATTATCGTATAAAACCAATGTACCACCACAGATAATGTTCTTACCATCAAGTTTCATAATAGGTTCATTCACTGTAATTTTTAAACTAAAGGAGCTACAAGTGTTCTGCTGAGCGTAAATTTGTAATATTACGCAATGGTAAGACGGAGACAACAAATACCACTGTTACATGCTCTTAAAGTGCAAAATTTAAAAATTGCATTTGAGGTGCACACCCTTGAGTAGAGGATTACCTAAGTACAACATTTCAGAACTATAAGTATGATAAACATGAGTGTGAATTGTTTTTCAGACATACAAACATAGCATATTATTAATATAGATTAATACAATATTTAAATGTTAATAGGGATTCTTGAATATTTAACAAAATACCGCCAATTTTCGCAGTTTTCAAAATGGCCGACGTTGATAAGTGGACTTTCCCTACTATATTATTCTTTATACTGTGCTCAATGTGCTCTAACTTTAGGTTGCATACACAAACACTAAACATTAGATTAATAAGTAGTGCTATTAGCCAATAGCGATTGATCCATTCCATTTAAGTTAAAAATAAATTGTTTGTTTAACCTAACTAATTATTGAGAAACAGATATTGTAGAACTACCTATGTGTCTATATTATATACTATTTTAATCCTTCATCATTAAGGCATCGTTATGGGTGCTTAATACTACCTACTGCGGTCTCAAAACCGGATGACTGAGCCACTGTGGTACTCACCCGAATAAATTGAAACGACAGCAATCCAAATGTTAGGTGCCCGATCTATGATGGTGCAGCAATGGCGATGGCGTACGTGAAACACGCACAAAAGAGACTTTGGTAACAGACGTCGAGTAATCCCAAAATAATGTATCCATGTAGTGATTGCCAGTCACGGGCGAACTATATGACTGCTCGCGCCAAAGTTTCAGCAGCAAGTTAATTGTATTTTATAATTGATTGTCGTCACCTCACACAACAACGAATGTCACCGCTAGTGAAAACAAAATCTCAGTCGACGTTCGAGGACAATAGGTACTTACTAAACAATAATAATAATAGTACCTGTAGGAAAAAAAATAGGTACACAATTGTATTCGTCGCGTTTTTTGTCGTTTTGGTTTTTTTTTATCCTTTCAACAGCGTGTACCAACCACGGTTATCAACTTACACCCGTCTACAAAATATTTAGATAACCATGCTCGCGGCTTCGTTCACGACTGTATCATGTACTGTCAAGTTGAATATATTATTATAATTTTTTACAATATCCACCAACGTGTTACCAACGTTGTGTTATCTATCTGACATTTACGTCATATAGAATAATAATAATATAGAGAACATGACGAGACGATATTATTGAGTATTGTTATTTAATATTTATTATTGTACATGGCAACAAAGAAACACAGACAATAATATAGATTTATAGGTTTTTTTTCTATAGATATAGAATAATAAATTATTCTAATTTCTAATAGATTTTCATTGTGTGAAAGAAATCTGTACGTATATCAACTGGTGAAATGTACGATTTAATCGGTATGACGGTGTAAAGAAATAAACCAAAATTTTAATAAATTTTAATATTTAATAGGTTTTCGATTTAATCACGGACATAAATTATAATTAATTACATTTAWATGTCWWTGGATTTAATGATCGTTTTTATCCATAACTGCAGATAATAAATAATGTAGGTATCTCACTCACAGCAATCASGAGTCAGTTGTAAGTTGTAACACTGTTATCATTCAAGTCTTCGTGGATTTATTATCGTAGATAATACGCGTCGTGAAAACACGACAAAAATAATAACAACGATTTTTTAATAAGTGTTTTCAGTTTTGTTTTTTGTAATGATACATTTTAAATAATCATCGTATAAGCAATATACTTTATTTTTATCATTAACAATTCAATCAATTTTATCAATTATTCATAAAAACGATTTAATTGAATACGACGTCATGGATCCAAAAATGATGACTGCAGATTACGTTTCCAAATATTTAAGATTGTTGAGTAAACTGCACGACGACCAAAGAGCATTGGCCCCCTTAAGGGTTTCTATTTTGTAAGTATTGTCCGAATTTATTATATTATAGTATTGGGCATAACTAATTGCAATTTGAAAATGTGTTACTAGATAACTGTTAAACAATATTATTTGTTTAATTTTTAACTTATAATTTAAAACCAAACTAAAAAATCTATATTGATACTGTATTTTATCACATATTATAGTGATARTTAGAGGTGGWTGAAACCATATTTTAAAAAACAGAATCGAGTTTGAAAAAATTGAAAAATTCTTTAATTAATTCTGGAATAAATTCTAACTTCAAAATGGTTCCAAATTGCTATTAGGTAGTCATACAAAAAAATAATTACAACACGTCAAACTTTTGGAACCAAAAATGTTCCCGTTGTTTAGTAATGTATTGTGTTTTCAATATTTCTATATACTATGGGTATACTATAGTATTCTATATTATCTTATTAGGTTAGCGTGGAGAGTTGAATATTAATTTTAATTGTATTGATTATCGTTGTTTTTATTTCAATATAACATAAATATTAAGTAAAATCTCGGGTAAAATTAAAGCCACGATACTGCCTAACCATCAATTATCTCTTGTGAAATTGAATAATGTATTTATAGACTTATTTAATTATTTTGGCTTTGTACTATTTTTATAATCAAAGTTTATAACTCGCTGAATAATATTAAATGTTAATATTGATTATTGTTCTTTATAAATCATTATCATTTTAAMATTGATCCTTTCTTGATTGTAGTTAGTCTGTCGTTACCAGATTCAATATGTTTAATTAGTTATCAGTGTTGTTAATGTAATATATTATTACTTATTAGCACAGCTGTTCAGTTTGAAGTACGATTGGCTTTGTTGATTGTCTGTCAATAGAATAGATRCTTATATGCTATCACTAACCATAACTATCAAATTTACTCATCATACTTATTGTACATTAAAGATTGTAAATAATTTTAGTAAAAATGTAATTCTTAATTTGAATACATGTTGTTTAAACAAATATTTCAATAAATTTGTATTTTTTTTTTTGATTTACCTGTTTATATGAAGCATGGTAAGAAATTGCAGATATATTAAAATGTTTAAATAATGGGTATACAYATTATAATTAGTGATTAATCTAGATTTAAAAAAATTGTTAGTGTTATTTCAGTATTAATAAGAAATTTGGTTAACTCAATTTAAATTTAAAAAAAAATTTCAGTAGAATTTCAAACATTTAAATTTATTATATAAAAATATTGTTTATCAAGCGAAACGTATTGGTATAATATGTTACTCACCCAACTTATCACAAATTAATTTTAAAAATAAGTAGTCTGGATTAATTATTTACTAAGAATCTTTGATTATATATTTACAATGAAAAAAAAATAATGAAAATAAAATGATAATAATTTAACTTATATTTAAGTTATTGAAATATTTATTTTTAATTTTAATATTTTATAGTAAATATTTGCCCTTAATTATTATTTTTATAATAAAACAATAAATAGTGTAATATGTATTATGTATTAAAACGTGCAGTTTTATTCAATGGTTAATATGAGTTTGATATGACACTTTTTTTTTTGTAGATGTTCTCAGCACAATCAAAGCAGTTCATTAGATGAAAACAAATTTACAGACATAGAAAACTATTGTCAACACTGTTTAACTCCTTGGAAGCATGGCAATTTTTTTTTGAAAACTGTTCCAAATCAAAAAAATAAAAATGATAAAATACAAAAAAAGCGTTCTACAAAGTTATTTAATTTGGTAAATGTTGAGATGAATATAATTAATTATAACAATATTGATAATCATATTAATTTATTAAATACTTACTTTAGGTAGTGAAATGCTTGGTGTGTTTAAATACRACCAGTTCAATATACAAGAAGAATAAAATATCAAATCAAAAATCTACTGAAAAATTACCAATAAGTTCAACACTAAATAAGAGCATTGATAAAACATCAAAAACTGAAGAAAAAGCTGAAACAATAGTTAATAGAAAACTAAAAAAAAAAAAAAGAACCCTATATGCTGGCTTAAACCCATTAGTTTTTAAAAATTTAAATAAGAACAAATAGTAGTAGTACAAATAAAATCTTTTGTAGTTTTGTGTAATTAAGACTTCTGGTAGTTTATTTTAATTTCATAAATCATAATACAGAATGGTTTGAAAATATTGGCTAAATCTTGGGTTAAAAATGCAAAATTTGATATTATTTATTATGTAATTTGCTAGAAATTTTTTTCCATTAACCACTGAAAAAGTTAAAAGTAATAATTTATTTGGCTATTTGGAAAACCTCATTTTCTGGTCAATGTATAACTCTAAATGATTTGATTATTGTTGAGAATGTTGGATTTTTCCATAAACTATTTTAATTTTAAATAATTGCTTTTATTTATTAATTTATTGATTAAAATAAATAAATTTCAATACAATTACTTATTGTGTTATTTTTTTTTTTAATGCAGATTGTAAATGTTTTCTACATTAATAAAAATAATGATTGCGGAAATAGTATTTGTTTTACTGAAAAACAGTTACATGAATTCATAAATTTAAAAAGGGATAAAGTGGATATCGCTCTGCTGTACAGTAGGTTACAAGCGGGTTACTGTAATGGATGGAATTAAATTTGAATCCAATAATATTATATCATAGTATACAAAAAAAGATTCTGAGCGGAGACGGTTTATCTGACTAGGATACATTATTATAGATTATTATTAATACTTATTAAAATACTTGACTGTCCGATGAAAATTTTTTTTTTTATTTGTTTAAGATAAAACAACTTATAAGGAATCTAGAATTAAATTTTCAAATCTTAAATTTAAAAAAAATAAATTTTTATGAATTTCTATCTAAAATGATTTTAACATTAGTGTAATTTTCACATTTTTAGTAAAAATTTGAACTTAATATTTTTAATGCTTATAAAAAAAATTGTGCCTATGTATTTTTAATATTTTCCAACTGCTATTGTAACAATATGTTGAGAGCCTTGTATCAAATTTTCAAATCTTAGTTTGATTTAAAAAGAAAATTTTTTAAGAAATTTCTAGCTTAAAATAATTTATGAATTTAAGTGATTTTTATGTATGTTGTTAAAATTCAAACTTTGAATGCTWGTATAAAAAAAATTGTGTCTATTATTTCTTTTATTTTTTAACTGCTATTGTAACAATATGTTAGGGTGAGCCTTGTATTAAATTTTCAAGCTTTTCTACCCAACAAATAAATTTTTATCGATATTAATTTTAAAAAAAACTAATAATTATCAAAAATTGCATATGCCTATAAATAGTTCATCTTAAGTCAAAATTATTTTTAAATTGCATGGTGGATAGAATATACTTATATAAACATTCTGTGAAAATTTCAGGTATCTATGGTCATTTACATCAAAAACCAAAATTGATTTTGTCGAAAATTGATTGTGCTAAAAATTCCCGTTTATTCCTTAATTTTTATTTTGTTTATCCCAATTATTAAAAAAAATATTGGGAATCTTTTACTTTTGACCCCCTGCACCAAAGTACTAACTAGATTCACTTTCTGATCGAACAAAGTACTGAAGTCGAAAATTGAATCACCTTAACTTCCCCAAAACGTGATGACAGACACAATAAAAAAAATTAACACATCATTCTAAAATCTCCACTCAGAATTTAAAATATGTCATAATGTTTTTTTAAAATTAAATTAATTTTTTTATTTGTAATAAAAATACATTAATTATTTTATAACACTGTAATAACAATTCAAAAACACTGGTTAAAGATTCAAATAAAATTAGTTTTAGTCAAAAAAAAAAAATTACTATTGGCATCTTAGAAATGTATTTCAAGTGCAGAAAGGTATAATTTAATTCACTTTTAAATCCATCCTTATTTATTTATTTTTATTCATTTTTTTTAAGTGGTAATAAACTGAAATCGCATCCCTCTCAAAGTGATCATATATTTCAAAACTCATAAGTGATTTATAGGCACAATAAAATATTATTAGCGTTAGTAATGAATTTACTAGTTTGTAATAATTTTATTTAGTATCAGATCATCTTTCTTCTAAATATAGAATTGGCATTCGTTAAACAATAATTGAACAAATCAAAATATATTATTTATAATAGCATAATGTGAATAAAATAAAAWTAAACAATATTWATTACACGTGAAAATATCTTAGAACTCATTGTTTGAATTATAAATATATTTTATTGTCAACATTTTAATCTCAGATACAAAACCTATTTTAGATTTTAACAAGTTGTTCTCATGATAAATCTGAACAAATGRTAGTATTTTTTATATTTTCAACGCGAAACTGTGATACTGTCTTAAAGTTTGAATATTTTTTACTTTGATTGAAAGAAAAGTAATTATCTTAGCATATTTCAACAACAATGTTATAACACAGAAACAATTTTTTAACTATTGATAGTATAGGACCTAGGTGAAAAAATGTCATATTCTAGAAAAACTTGTTTTAAGATCAACRAAGTTAAAGTTTCTAATTTATGGCACTCTTTGCTATTGCTCAGATGGTTGTAAAATTTGTGTTGGATGAAAGATTGAATTTTAAAGAAACTGATTGTGTCTTTGTTATAACATTGTTTTTTTTTTTTTTTTTGGTGTCCACATAACTATAAATAAGTAAGAAATTTAGATATGAAAATATCCATTTTTCATCAAACAATAATTATTAATAGGTAACATTATTATAAATATTTTTTGTTACAGATTACTTTTTTCATAATGTTTGAATAAGAATACAAATACATTTACAAAAAAAAAAAATGCAAACTTATTATAACCTATTTAACCAAATCTTACTATATTTTTTACAACGAAAAACAACAAATTATCAATCATAATACTACTCTTGGACCATTGAAATTTAGGTACTTAAAATAATATCATTAGGTAATAAATGTAATAAATATAACATATAAATGGTTCAATTTCAATGCATTAACTATCTACCTAACCTAACCTATCGTAGCTACTATAGAAAATGTAAAAAATTGTATTAGCTTTATTATTGATTTTTATTTTTATTTGTTTTTACTTTTTTATCTTCATTGCTTACGCTTATGTTTGTTGTCTCTTACAAATGTACGACATGGAGARTTTTCATTCACTAGCTTCAACATAGTATGATGTTAGTTTTGATATTAGAGTGGTCAATTCACCTATGATCAAACTTTTAAGTAAGGACATTATTTATGGTTGAGTGTTGGTGATTTTATAATATTTTAATTTTCAACCAAGAAATGGGTAGGTATGTGAAATATCACAAATTTAAAATACTCCTGTCTTGCTTGAAAATTTTATTTATCGAATTAAATCTAAGCACAGATATCGTAAAAATTTATCAATTATAGGTTATTTCACTCCGATATCAAAACGAACTGCGTATTGTAATGATAATATGCTCACATATCATAATTGTATATTGCTTAGTTATCAAATAAAATAAATAACGGTCAAGATGTCGCCCGCAAATAACCATTAAACCCATAGAAAAGAGATTAAACCCCAATAAATTTATTTAATCACTGATGGAAGGAACGATCTGCATTGTTTGGTCACGTAGGAACCCAGACGTAGTTGTGACAATGTGTCGCCGCACGTTTTATCTATTTTGTGTGCCTGTGTGCCGCCAGAGACAAGGGATGGCCCAATGGGCCGTAACACGATTGCGGACTTTTTACCTTTGAGCAAACACAAATATTTAAATAATTTGAAATAAATGGTTATAGTTTAAGAAACTCACCTATAGTATAGTATACGTATACACAATTGCTACGGCCAGTGGATACTATTATTATATGGCGTCTAATAATATTTTATTACTCTAATAACCGATAATAACTGATAAATGTTAGTGGCTGTGCTTTTCCAACGTACGAGTATTCACATCCGATGGATAATGACGCGTAATTACTGTGATATATTATAAGAGTTTTTTTTTACTATAGGTATACGTATTAAGTTATTATTAATGTTGGTAAATTTATTTAAATATTTGTGTTTGCTCAAAGAAAAAATATTTAAGGTGCGCAATCGTGTTGTTTTTTTCTCAAATATAAAAAGGTAAAAAGTCCGCAATCGTGTTGCACCGGGCCCAATGAGGACCTCTGCGACCAAGGATAACGGTAAATCTTTAGAAACGCAGAGGCCTTTGATGGAGCCGCCTGCGACCCTGGCTGGCTTGACCAAGTCGTCTCCACTCTTAAGTGCATGAGCACCATCCAAAACTAAAAAACAACATCAAGAGTGCAGGAGCACCTAAAAACTTTTCAAAACCAGACATTGCGAGCGACAGCTGGACCGTTTCATTTTTAAAATCGAAATTTAACAGTGTTGTTTTTCTTTAATCTGAGTGTTTAATAAAAAACCTTTATTTATTTTATTACGTCAACTGCATATCAAAKACAGCTGCGAATAAGGTAAGGTGCATGCGCATCAATATTCATATATTTATATAATTTTATATATTATATTTTATTTATTCAATTTTTTATAATTTAATAACTAATATTTTATTACTGCGGTGTACTTGATCGTTCTCGAATCACGACCTCGAGAACCCTCCGACGATCAGGAGGAAGGTAATACGCAAATTTAAACCAACAAGACATAAGTTAAGATAACTAAAAATAATTAATAACTTATAAATATATTTAAGGCATTCATTCAAGGCTTGTGTCCCTTGTGTTTGCCTTACAATTTATTCAGACCAATTTATCTCCCATAAATAAATAATAAATAATTACATTACTATATTAAATAATATTATTATTAATAATTTCATTTTTAATATCTCCTCTTTCCTTTTTCTTTTCTTTTATTTTCGCGTTATTACAGTATTATTGAAACTGTTGGACGAAAATTTGTTATTTCGATATGTCATGTGATAACAAATGCAATGGTTGCGTCTTTTTAAAATAAAAAAATGACAGGTTAGGTTATAATAAAAAATTCCAAAATGTCCTCAGTATACCTAACTTATGTACATTTATACCGACTTTTTGATCTATTAACTTAATAAAATACCATATTAAACATTTGAAAATATACAATACTATTTGAGTTATGAATAGATACATTTTCATGAAAATACCATGATAATAACACCTAACGACCTAACCCTTAAAAATTAGATTTTTGTGTGTTAAAATATTGAATATTACTATTTACTAAGAATTTTAAAATGTAAGAAAGTCGTTTTCAAGTAATTTTCATGACGAATTTAAATACATATATTTTAGGAAAATTATTGAATAAATAATAATTAGT